CCATAACCTGGAAAGGAGGCACTGGGGAAGGGGAGGAAGGAAGAGTGCATGACACAGGAACAGGCTATATGAGGGTTGGGAATGTCGAAAAACAAGGAGGAAAATTGACATGGTACCACTGTGGGCTGCAATGAGGTAGAAAGACTCCCAAACACTGACAGTCACCAATATGGCACCAAACAAAAGGCAAGGAAGAACTGGAGGAGGGAGAGGCACCCAAGTAAACAGTGCACACCATGAAGAAGATCCCACTAATAGTCAAGTAGATAGGTACAAAGGGAGTGGAAAAAAAGAGAGGATACAAGACATCCCTGAAAACCCCACAGAGGCTTAGTGGATATATATGGCAAGAAGAGGTGTGTAGGAAAAGGTAACAAAGAAAGTGGAGAATGGGTTGTATCAGAAACTTATTTTTTTAGTAGTATATATGAATGTAAGTATATGCGTATGTTGGGCTAAGGATTCTTCTACAGTAGGTGTCTGCTACTTATTAGCGATAAATTCAACAATAAACGAACATCACACATTCCACTTGTTTTAAAATAATATATATATCAGAAACAAGTTGAATGTATATACAAAATTCTTTACACTATGGAGATCATAGTTGTATCTTAAACACTACACTTCTCTTCTTCTTGTCAAAAGTCCACTTACGCCTATTCAATTGCTTTAGAATTCAATTGACAAGCTGAACTATTTTTCTATTACACGTATTAGTTGTATCTTAAACACTATACAGTTCTCTTCTTCTTGTCAAAAGTCCACTTAGGCCAATTCAATTGCTTTAGAATTCAACTGAAAAGCCAAACTATTTTTCTCTATTTTTAATCGCAATAGTATCCGTATATAATTCACTTATGCTGTCACGTGAGTTACCAAAGTTCGTTTCCCATACTTACAATAATCGTCTGCTTTTTCGTGCTTCTAAGTAATCATCTCATTTTCCTCAAAGTCCACACAGGTGGGTTCAATTAGCTAAGAAAACCCTTTGATAAGACAAATGCTTCTCCTTATCTCTTTCAAACTATTAATCTCATTCTAACATATGAACCATTAGGCCTTTCACTCCTATGAAGGTTAACTTTGCATTTTCTAACTTCTCTCTCACACTGAACTTCTCTTTCCCATGAATTTTAACTCTCTATTTCTACTCATCTGCTTTCCATTATTTATACATCTATCACTTAGTCCTTCTAGAAATCTCCATAGCCTCAACTTCAAGGAATTACAAACACAAAATGAATTACTTAATAATACTACCTACACTAAACAGTATTTTATATCTGACATATAGTGTGATTGTAATATCCACTCTATGTGCATCACTACTACAGTTATGCATATATAGGCCTACTTACTCTTGCTGTCCTTCATGTTTTCTTCTACCATCATTTACCAATGTATAATCCTGACAATTAATGAGCCACAGCCAGGTTTATATAGTGGTAGAAGAAAACATGAACAACAGTGATAATAAATAGGCCTATATATGCACAACTGTAGTAGTAGCATAGATAGTGTGGAGATTACAATCACAATATGTAATCATGTCAAATTTTGATAAATGGGTAGAAAGAGGAAAGCTTCTTGAGTTAAAAGACAGTGAACTACAAGAGTTTGTTAAACAACATCAAGAACTAGAGAGAAGACTGGCAACAGAAGAGAGAGGAGGAGAGACAGAGAAGAGAGGAAGAAAGACTGAAAGGAGAAAAGGAGAGAGAGAGAAGAAAACAAGAGAAAGGAAAACTGAAATAGAGAGAGAGAGAGAGAAAGAATAAGAGCACAAAGAGAAAAAGAAGAAAAAGAGAGAGAAGAAAACAAAAGAAATGAAAGTCTGGAAACAGAAAGAGAAAGAATAAAAGCACAAAGAGAGAAAGGAAAGACTGGATGCAGACAGAATCACCAGTAACTTTTATTGGCCAGGAGTCATCGGAGATGTAGGTAGATTCTGCAGGTCATGTGATATCTGCCAAAGAACAATACCTAGAGGGAAGGTAGCTAAGGTGCCATTGGGGTAGATGCCTCTTATAGTAGAAACATTCAAAAGAGTAGCTGTGGACTTGATTGGACCACTAGCACCTGTTTCTGACAGGTAGACGAAAATGGGAAAACTGGGCATGGACAATGTACATTTTTCATAGTTTGATCCCCATCCCTGAATGAAAAACTTGAAGGATTGTGAGTCCAGGAAAAATGCAAACACCAGAATGTAACCGGGTTATGAACTAAACAGCATGGACCCTGAAATCTGTACAAGAGAGTTAACTAACAAACAGACAAAAGATATCATACCCGGGAAATTAAGTCAAGGAATGGTCAATGAAAATGTGGGAACATTCATAGGCTTACCCTTGCTCCCACAGCAAAGGAAGGAGGTGATAAAAGGTCCTCCAAAATATCATCATTCAAATAAGGACCACCAGGGAGTGGTACATCTGGTCCTGGTACAAAAGACGTATCAGACCTCATGATAAAATCCAATTCGTGGCAAAAAAAAGGCCGAAACCACCTCACTGAAATACTGAAGCCCAAATCCATACAAATGACAGTTGTTGTACGATGGCAATGTTACAAAAGAAATAATAGTGGTAACAATATTTTGAAAATTCAAACAAAAGACACTTGAGTGGGTAAAACAAATTCAATCCACAAATTATCACGGAATAATGCAGAATGTAAAAACAAGTTAGCCATTTGTTGAATAAGTTGTATTAATTTATTTTTTTTAATTAAGTAAAAATGCACGAAATTAAAACATGTCTGCACTTGAGTGTTTCAAATCAAGAAGTAAAGATTAGGTTATATAGTATAGATGGAGTCAGCTACACTAGGATGGTGTGTATACATGCTCCTATTGGTGGAGAGTTGTTGCACACTCATTTGCATGCTACAATGCAGATGTAATACGTGTAAACACAAGGATGTAGGTGGGAGAATAAGGCTAGTGACGAGCACAAATTTGTGCATATAGAAGGCATTAGTTGTTAAGAAAATCTATTATGTGATAGGAGGTAAGTTATCATATCAGAAAAATATTTATTGTAAATTACTTACTCCAAGTTTAGTAATAATAAAATAAATATATAAATAAAGAAATTGAATTAATACTTTTGTATTCTAATATTCCTCTTTATTTCTTGTATTCATTTTCTTTGGTACTTATATTTTCAAAAGAAAAAAATACCCTTAACAATTTTACTTCTGAGTTATACATCTTGGCAGCATTTAAACCTAAAAGCATAAAGTTGATCAATCTGATCAGCCGTAGAACTGTGAAACTATATGTACTATAATTCTGTGTTTACTAAGTGTATCTTCATGAAATTTGGCAAGCTTTTAGTAAACATTAAAAAACTGCATTATAGAAAAAAAATCAAGTTTTGAACAGCCTTTTTATTAAAGATTTGTTTGTAAATTTCCAGAACCTTTACTTAGTCAGTCTGGATGCAATGTTATTTTCATGCTAAGAATAAAAACTACTTCTTTTCATCTTACAGTTTTTGTATTTCATTTGTATAACTTCTGGAGCCTCCTAAGCAAATATCAAAAATTTTTTGGTAAAACTTTATATATTACCTCTTACTTTCTTTACCTTAACACCAACTGTAGAGAAATCATCAGTGTACAGTGAAAAGAAAAGTTGAAAAATATAAAATAAAATGAATAATACCATTTTATCCTCTGCAGTGACTGAAATATAATTCAGAAAGTTCCAAATTACTTAAAAGTTTCAAGTATTAACATTTTCACAACTTTTTTTATTGCTGTAGTAATCCTCATATTAAAAGCAATAAATCACAGCATCAGCGGACCATTAGCTGTTCCCTATAGAGCTAACAAAAACAGCATGAGATGTATCAGGCTTCACACTGTGTCCAAGTTTGTGAAACTTTTTGTTTTTTATGTTAATGGCGTTTTGTCATTTCTATTATAAGCTACATTTTTGCACCAAGTTTATTAACATGCATTGATAATAAAGTGCTTTAATTTAAATTTGTAAAAGGTCATTACATGAGCATTTGGACCCACTTGAAAATAAGGTGTGGCAAAAGAATTAACAGAATACAAACTTCTGGATTTAGAGTTTAGAATCTGCCACATTAAAATTTAATTATGTTTATAAGATACAACTGTAATGCTATGACTTTCTACCCTTGTTCCATATTTATTCCAGAACAGGAATAGTTTGAATTTCAAGTGGGCCTAACAAATATTAAGCCTCACTGACTTTTGTGGGAAAATTACAAACTTTCTTAAGGACTTGTAAATTGTTATAAATGGATGTAATTATTTTTTTACCTTCTTTCCTTTTTTTTCTTAATGTGAATAGGAGGAGATTCTATTTTTAATATAAAGAAATGGGAGTTCAAGACTGCTACTCAATACATGACACTAAATGTAACTGTGTACCTCTATACCAACTACAATGATCTCCATTATTACATATTCTTATTTAAGCACTGACATATACTAGAAAAAAAAAGTATATAAAGCCCTACAATGTACTTGACCACCTCTTGGAAAACATGCTGGCCAGAAGTACACAGCTCAGCTTTATTTTCATTGCTAAGTACATTATACATGCAGTGTTAGCAAGATTCTCATTGTATGTTGGCAAGAAAGAAAGAAAGTGACATTATAATAATTGCAACTAGAAATTTTTGAGTTATATACATTTACAAGACAGAAGGAATCACCTGTAATGATCAGTGATATGTTCCTTAACACATAGGCATATTTTACAAATACATTTTTTGTAGACTTAAACTGACCAGTCTTTCCTTTGCTAACAGACACCTGACTTAAGTGAACCCGTGTTTTATTGTGCACAGCAGAAAATGAACTACAAAAATGACACTTCTGGATTAAAATTTTGATATAAAACTGGATGATGTGTATACTTTCTAGGGTTAATCTTAAATTAGTATGCTGGAACTAACAGTGCTAAAAACTACAACCATCAAGTGATTAGTTAAATAAAATATAAAATTTCTTACTTCATTTTGTATGTTTTTGCTCCAATAGCCAAAGCTATGAGTTGATGACCAAGACATATTCCAAACACAGGCTTTGGCTTATCCTCTAGAAGCACACGTTTCAAGTTCTTAATGGTGACATCACAGAAAGTAGGGTCACCAGGGCCATTACTGAGGAAAAGCCCATCAAACTCTGATTTTCAGATAAAAAATATTATAACTCAGACATGAGTAAAATAAGCAGTGTTAGTTTCACTGATTGGATCAAGTTTAATACAATGTTAGTTTCACTGATTGGTTTAAATAAAATTTGTTAAGTCTTAAAGTTCACTGATTGGATCAAGTTTAATGCAATGTTAGTTTCACTGATTGGATCAAGTTTAATGCAATGTTAGTTTCACTGATTGGATCAAGTTTAATACTAACATTGTAAAACGGTTTCATTAGAAATTTCTTAATAGCACATAATTTCAATATTAAAATATTGTATAGATGCCAAGGTGTACATTTCTTGAAAAGTTTTCTTGTCTGTTTTTATAACGTGTCTTTCTACTCACTTGCCCATTAACTTAACCTCTCAACATAAGTACATGTACCAACAATAGATAATAACTGTAGATAAATCATCTATTAATAAGTGATCTGTTAACAATTATATAACAACCATAATTAAATATGCTTTTCTTACATACTTATTTATAAAGATTACAATACACTGTTTCTTCAGTTGGTACCCTTGCTGTTAACAATATTTTTACCATCATCCCAATATCTTCTCAAGGTTTGGCCAGCTTAGGAGATTTAGGTTAGTCTTAAACACATATATTAAACTAACAATTAAAACAATCTGAAAATAAATGCAATATAATTTTGCAATGTAATAAAATAAACTATGTGTGAATTAACAATAATATATTTTATTCAGTAAGATTCAATGAAAATACCCATTATGAATGTTCTGATTTAGAAAAACTTATTTTTCTTCCTCATGAATAGGTTTTGTTGGGATCCTTCACATTTTTTACAGCTGCTTGAAAATATATTGAATAATTTCTAGTATAAGAACTTATGATAATGTTTGTATTTAGTACAGCCAATATTTATTGTAACTTTGACAATATATATATACAAACACAAACTATGCATTTTTCCAGGCTTTTAACAAAGAGATCCTTTACTTGTGAGTAACAAACCTTTGGAATCAAGGGGATGATTCCATGGTACAACTTCAACACTTGCATTTCGATCCACCAAACAGCGAAGTTGGTTGTACTTCATTCCACAATCTACAACCATAATGCGTGGTGAACCTTTGGGATTAAACACCTTAGGAATCTGGAAATAATAAAAATATAACTTACAAACATATTTTTTAATTTCATAATTTTTTGTGTCTTAGGTTTAATACGAATAAGGAATTTCAATTCTATAACTCATAATTTCTCGAGACATTCTATCTTTGCTATTTTGTTGTTCAAAAGCTCCACAGTTCCTAAAACAACACAAGGGAACTGCCAGTACCATTATCCATGCCAACAGTGGTCACAAACATGGAAAAAAATTAAGAAATATTGTTGGATATACAAGACTGTTTAGCATGAGCATTATTATTTAATTTATTTTGTGACTTAATATTTAGTGATTGTTAAGTTTTCATAAGAGCTTTGTGAGGTTGATTGTTTTAGAAGCATTAGTTATGACAGGTTTGGTTGAGTAACTCGGTAAGAGTTGTACACTGTGTATGTGTGGTTCAAATGTTGTAGTATTGTTGATGCCAATTTACTCAAATCTTCTGTATTTTTCTCAGTAACTTATGTGAGTATTGTTATGTTATAGCATCACTCGCATAGCTTATAGAAAGTTCAAGGCCTCAGTAAACAACATATAAATATAGACGACCAAGAAAGCGCAAGTCAAGTTCAGTCACAAAAAAAGTTTGAAAATGTGAAATTAGCTGGCGTGTGAGTGATTAGTCGTAAAGGGCGACATTTTAAACTGAGTTTCTCAGTTTAATAGAGGTAAGTAGAATAATTTGTCTTGTCAAAGGATTCTAAGGTACCTGAACCCATCAGTGTGAACTTTGAAGAAAAGGAGACAATTATTTGAAGTTCAGGATACAACTGTGGTAACTCATAGGGTAGCATAAGTGAATTATTCACTGATACTATTCAAATAAGAGTAGAGAAAAATAGTTTGTCTTGTCAACTGGATTTTAAAGTAATTGAATCAGCTTAAGTGGACTTTTGACAATCAAAGAGAATTATTTAGTTTTAGATACAACTGTGATATTCCACAATGTACAGAATTTTTTGTACATACGTTTGACTCGTTTTGAATATATTATTTTAAAACAAGTGGATTGTGTGCTGTCTGTTTATTGTTCAAATTTATCGCCAACAAGTCATATACACCTACTGCAGAAGAATTCCAGCCCACTCACATATACATAAAACCTTGACACATATGTGTGTATATATATATATATATATAATATGGGCAAAATGGAAGTGATGGATAAGAATTTGAGTCCAACAGGTGACAAACATGTTGGTCTTTACCATTAATAAAGATGAGTACAAATGTCAAGAGTACTGGTTTTCTTTTAATATTATTTACCAGCTTTTTTTATCCTAAGTATTGTTGTTGACCAAAGAAGTGTCACCAACAGAACAAAACAAGCGATGTCATGCATCAAAGAGAGGACCTGAAAATGAAGACAAACAGGAGGGTAGGCATGTAGAAAAAAGTGAGACCAGTCCTGGCTGAGAGCATCCTCCACCAGGGCCAAAGGATGAGGAACTAGGGATCAGAACAGGGAATGTTTGGTGTTGAGAGGAGTTGCAAAGGCATCAATGAAAGGTGTGTTCAACTGTGAGCAAACCCAACAAAACACCTGTGGATGGAGAGAACATTCAGTGGATAGAATACTATCCGCCCAAGAGAGACGATCCACCCCCAATTTCAAAGCCTCCAGCAATGACAAGCCATGAGAAGAACCTGATGGGAATGAGCCTTAAACAGTATATTCAATGCACAGAAGCAAAAAGTCTTAGAACAGGTATCCCTCTGACAGATGATATAAGAAACAACTGACCATGGTATTGGCACGATCAAATGTAACAAATATTGAGAAGGTATAAGAAAAGTCTAGGAAAGCTTGACAAGCCAGCCCAGCTGAGCAGACTCCTGCAGATGTGTGAGAAGAGTCCCTCAAGAGAAGAAGTCACACACCCAGTCTCAAAATACTGATGACAAATGGGATTGGAGGGAAGATGAAACCAGAAAAAAGGGAAGAGAGGAAAGGAAGTGAAGGGATAGGCCAGGGGTGAGAACCTAAAGAACCCATCTGACAGCCAAAAATGGAGACCATAGTCTTGCAAAAAGAAACAGATAATATCCCATAAGGCCAGACATGATAGTGTGGACACAGACGACACAAGTGACAACCCTGATGTTGGGAGGAAGCTGGAATAGGAAGGGGAAACATGGATTCAGCAGGCCTACAAGTAGAAACAGGTTGAGATAGATGAGAAATCACGGAAGACTGATGCTGGGCCATCTTGGTCTGGGTCTCCAAGTAAGTCGGGAATACCCCTAAGACTTCTCGGTGAATAAAAGAGGCCCAATGAAAATAAGCATGTGGAAAACATACATTAGCTAAGAGAGCATCCCATCCCAACAGCAGAGGAACCGAGTACGAAGGAATAGAGCAGAAGAAGAAGAATTACAGGCCAATGTGGTGAAAAGAAGAGAACAAACCTCTCCAGAAAACCTCCAGTGATGCACTCAGAAATAAGGTGAAGTGATAAGAAGTAATGCAGGAGGGTGATAAGAAAAACATAAAGGGATTAAAATTGGGCACTAGAAAGGTAAATAGAAATTAAAGGATCTGCAGGTAAAAGAGATTCCAAAAACTTGGATTCAAGGAACAGAAATGAAGAATAGCTGTAAGCCAGAACAAAAGAGTTGATTAGATGAGGAGGACAAGGCATGTAGGTATGTAGTTGTTCAAGAACATATGCCACATGACCCTAATACCAGGAGAAGAAGGTAAGACAAAGTAAACTTGGGTTTTATGTAGTAAATCGTGGAAGAAAGTGAAAGACACATGGGAAAGAGAAAGAAAGAACACACTTGGGAAATCAAGTCAAGGAAGATGTTAGAAGAGAGAAGATTTTCCTCCACAGGTAAAGCTGTGCCTAGAGCAACCCCTGGTGGAGGTAAATAGCCAATCAAAATCATCATCATCATCCTGGTCATCTTCAAATTGGAAAGAAGGTACGTAAGCCGAATGTACAGGAGGAGGAGACCCAGTGTGCATGAAGGAACCCACAACACACTGAAAAAATGAAAATCCCATCTGCCACAGACAATGAGCCTCCAGCAGCCAGGGGTAGTAGGAACATTATCATTATCACAGTATGAACTGGTAGTTACTGTCACTTGAGAAGCCATAATGTTTGTTGTTGTTTTACTAAGTGAAATTAAAGAAATCACACTGGTTATATGAAACTCGAACACTGAACCAGGTAAACTTGAACAAAAATTAACTCAGTCATAAACTGTCCCAAATCACAAGTAATTGATTCACAATTTTGGAACACATCCATTCTATATAATGTCAAGGAAAAAAATAAAGTTAATTTGAACACAAGTGCTACTGAACAAAAAGGTTGTGTGGTGAAGTGCTATCATCTCATGATGACATCACGCATTAGCATAGTACACGTTTTTTAGCTTGGAGGTAGCACAAAGCTATCATATTTTTTGGAATATAAGATGCACCGGTGTATAAGATGCACCCAAAAAGCTACAGTCGCATTTGAAAGATTTAAATTGAATAAAAATTCAATTTGATACTTTAAAAATTAGTATATATTGTT